ATGGATGGATGGATGGATGGATGGATGGATGGATGGATGGATGGATGGATGGATGTACAAATTATACACTCAGTACATTCAAAATTTGAAACAAAAACAAAAAGGGGATCAATTTATCTCTCACCCTTATAGGTGGAGGGGATGGATACTAGACCAGAATAACACAGGGCTTATAAACTCAAGTTGTGAGGTGTTGAATATATTCAGTTGAATGCTTGAGTTTGTGTGAATGAATGCTTGAGGTGTGTTTTTAGTTGTTTTTTAAAGGAGTCAGTGTTTTCAACAGATCTTAGATAGGGCGGAAGGGCGTTCCACAGTCTAGGAGCCATTGAGGAAAAGGCACAGTCACCATGGGTCTTGAAGCGAGTACGGGGGACCAAGAGAAGATTCTGGTCTTGTGAGCACAAGTTGCGTTTGGGGTGATAAGGCGAGAGAAGACCAGAGATGTAATTCGGCGKTTGGACGTGTAGAGCTCTAAAAGTGAGAACCAAGATTTTGAACTTGAGTCTGAGTTGTACAGGTAGTCAGTGGAGGTCTGATAATATAAGGGTGATGTGAGAGAATTTAGATGTTCTAGTCAGAAGTCTAGCAGCAGAGTTTTGAACAAGTTGGAGKDGMTTTAATTGTTTCTGATTTAAGCAGGTGAACAGGCTGTTACAGTAAAGACGGGTTGAGATAATGGCATGGATCATCATTTCCAGGTCAGAGACAGACAGGAGAGGGTGAAGTTTAGAAATGCTAAGGAGTTGAAAATAGCATGAGGTAACCAGATTTTTGACGTGTTTATCTAGTGACAGGTCTGAATCAAAGTCGACTCCCAGATTTCGTATGTTCTTTTTAACAGTCAGCACCAGAGAGCCCAGTTGTTCTTTTATCTGAGGGATCTTATTTTCAGGTGCGAGGATCAGAGTTTCTGTCTTGTCACGATTAAGGAGTGGCAGGTTGTCAGAAAGCCATTTGTTGACTTCTGTGATACAGTCTAGAAAAGAGAGCAACTTGTGGGAACTTGACTCATTAAAAGAGCAGTATAACTGCAGGTCATCAGCGTAGAAGTAATAGGATACATCATGAAAATTGTCAATGATCTGGCTTAGTGGGCAGATGTAGAGAAGGAAAAGGAGGGGCCCCAGGATTGAACCCTGTGGTATGCCGCAAGTGAGTTGGGCTGATTCTGAATAAATCTGATTTTGAATTATTGAGAAAGAGTGGTCGGAGAGGTATGAATTAAACCAGTTTAATACCGCACCGGATGTCCCTATGTTTCTCAGGTTGCGTAGCAAAATGTTATGATCAGCAGTGTCAAAGGCAGAGGAAAGCTCTAGTAGGAGCAGAACGATGTAGAAGCCACTATCAGCAGACGTTAGTATGTCATTTGATACACGTAGAAGAGCGGTTTCAGTGGAGTGAAACCGCTTTTTGGAAATGTGTTTTTTTGAAAATTCTGACATGTTCAATACTTATTTTACCCACTGTAACTGAGGCCTGTAAGCGTTTGAGTTGCCTTTTTTTTGGTAATTTCTCCAAGAATTGCACAGTCTGATTGACCTCTGAGAAGATTGACAGCTCAAAAAGCAGCACGATGGATTAGTGGTCAGCACTGTTGCCTCACAGAAAGGAGGTCCAGGGTTCAAGCCTTGGTTTGGACCTAGGATCTTACTTTGTGTTGTTAGTAAGGGTTTTCTCTGGATACTAAGGTTTRCTCACTCAATCTAAAAAAGTTATTCTGCCTCCAGGCCGAGGCCTCCACTGCAAAAAAGAGTGATCTCAATGGGATTGGCCTGGTTAAATAGAGGTTAATAATAAATGTTTTCCACTTGTTAATGAGCGTTTTCACTGTACAATAAGAAAGCACATCTGTAAGCTCCCCAGTGTTTCCCAACCTGGGTCGTTGAGGAACTYTCCTGCATGTTTTAGGTGTTTCCCTGCTCTTCAGCAGGTCCTCAGAATTTTTGGAAGCTTGTTAAACACACATTGCWACAAATCAGYTGTATCAAAGCAGGGAAACATTTAAAACATGTAGGATAGTGTTCCTCGAGGACCAGGGTTAAGAAACACTGCTCCAGACTATCCGGATATATTACAACTGGAGACAGGACTGGAAGCCAGAAGTTGAAGGCACAAATTGTAAGCGCCCCCTAGTGACTGGCTGTAATACAATTATTATGCTCTGCCTCCATGTTGAGTTTAGATTTAGAGCCTGAGCAGTCAAGCCAGAATTATATGTTTAACTAGAATAGTTCCTGGAGAAACTATGAGAGGATTGCCCGCTGTGCAAAACTCGTCCTATATTGCTATAAGGGTTTGCTGTTTAAAACTTGTTTTYGCGGCCTTCTTAAAGAGTAACTTACCCCAAAATTAACTTTTTTAGCTGATAAACTGTCTAGAA